TTGGAAAAATTCAACCCCTGTCTTTTTGGAAAAGATGCAGGGGCAAGCCAGGTAGGTTAGGCAATGAGAAGAAACTACAGAAAAGGCCATATGCTAATGTTTTTGAAAGCAGCATGATGAAGTGGAAAGAACCTTCGAGTCCAGAGACCTGAGTTCGAATCCTAGTCTTCAGCTATCACTAGCTATGTGACCTTCAACAAGTCAATTCCCCTCTCTGAGCTTCAGTTTTCTCATCTTTAAAATGGGAATGGTTATACTTGCCTTACATACCTCCCAGGGTTGTTGTGAGGAAAGTGTTTTGTAAATGATAAAGTATTGTAAAATGTGTTTTGTTAGATAAGGGCAGAGGAAAGGGAGTAAGAGGAAAGACCAAGGGAGAAAAAAACCTAGTCGGCTGAATTTTCTATTGTATTTCAAGCATGGTGTAGTTGAAAGATTTGGAGTCAGAGAACCTGAGTTCAAATCCTATCTGCTTCTTAGTGTGACCTTCAGTTTTTTTGTAAAATGACAGGGTTGGCCTAGATGACCTACCAGCTCTGGATGCTGGCCGTGGTCCAAAAAGAGGCCCATGGGATCTTACCATTAGAAGGGACCATTAGGATCATCTAGTTCAGAGATGTCAAACATGCACCCGGGGTGGTGTGAATCCCCTGACACTCCTGAGTGTATTGGAAACCACAGGAAAATGTCATTGGGAAATATTTTGGAAATATTTTAACAAAATAACTAGTTTTAACATGTGGTTTTCTATGTCAAAATGCTGCCACAGATATACTTCTATCTGGTTTGAGTGGTTTGACATCATTGACTAGTCCAGTCTCTGCCTGAGGGGGAATCCTGCAGATATCATGTCCAGGTGGTGGGCCTGCCTCTGCTTGAAGCCCACTGCGCCTTGGGAGAGCTCATCTTGCTACGATGTGCTAATCCTTAGGGAGTTGGGCTAGTCTCTTTCTTCTAGGAATTTTGTGTGGGTATATGTGTGTGTGGGGAGGAAGTGTATGTGTATACCTTGCATCCTTTTTACTATGTTTCTTCCTATGTCTTTTTTGTTTGTTTTTTGGGGAGGGAATTGGAGTTAAATGACTTGCCCAGGGTCACACAGCTAATATGTGTCTGAAGCCAGATTTTAATTCAGTTCCTCCCACCTCCAGAGCCAGTACTCTATCCACTGCACCACCTAACTGCCTCCCTATGTCTCTTCTCTGTTCATGTTTCCCCCCACCCATCCCTGTCCCAGATAAAGGTAGCTGGGTGGCTGCAGAATGCCCTGGATGGAGAGGTGGCTGAATGGTTCCAAGAACAGGAACCTGACATTGACCCTGAAGGCTTCTATCATTCTTCCCTGCCTGCTGTTGTTCTGCAGGTGTGTGGTTTTTTTTTTTTGGGGGGGTGAATTTGGGTTAAGGGGAAGGGAACTGCTTGAGGTGGGGGTGGACGCCAAGAATTTGTGCTGGCTAACAGTGTGCCCTGACCCTTCCCACCCCCAGATCCTAGATGAGAATATCCGGGTGACAGCTGTGATCAGCTCTTCTTTGCAGGAGAGAATACATGTCATGGCCCTGAGGGAGCTGGGCACCTTCCTGAGGAGGTCTGTGCCACCCCCCTAAAGTGACATACACGATGTTTATGATTGCCCAGACTGCTGGCATAGAATCCCATAGGCATTTCCATAATGGGAAGTTGTCAAGGATGAGGACACTCTGCAGCAAAGAGGTGACTGGGTTTAGAACAAAGGAGGAGGAGGATGCCCCACTGCCTGTGGAGTACTCTGCCTCTGGACCAAAGTTCAAGGCTTACTTCTGATATTTTTGACCTATGTGAACTTGGGAAGGTCATTTAAATCTCCCCGGACCTCAGTTTCCTCCTTTGTAAAATAAGGGGTTAGGGTAAACTAGATGGCCTTTGAGGTCTCTTCTAAAATCACTCCAGCAGGCCCCTGTTCTTGCTTAGAGGCCTGTGTCCCCTAATGGGAGGTAGTGGGGTGAAAAGTGGGAAGGAGGGCTCAGCCCAGTTACAGTGATGAGTCACTTGCATAGAAAGTGGTCTTTCATGGCCCTGGCTCCCCTGTGCCGTGTCCTCCTCTCCTGGCCCTCATGTCCCCAAAGTTTGGCTAGGTGGGAGTGGAGGCCATGGTGCTGGTCTTGCTTACCCGTTCTTCCCGGCCACAGCCTCATGGAGGCACTGGACCGTTTCTCCCAAGAGCACCTGAAGGATGCATCTAGGCCCTGTCACTACGTGCCATACCTGCTGGCCTGCCTCAATCACTACGCTGCCCTAAGGTACTGGCTGCACAGAGAGATGGAGGGGCTTTGGGAAAACTGGGCCACCAGGAAATGTGCTAAGGCCATGGGACTGGGGACAAGAGAGGACTCACGCATCTTAAGGTTGTAACCTTCTGTATGAATGGCGACTGAGGTTAATTCCATTCAAGTCAGCACGTGTAGTTTACATTAAGTACCTGCTATGTGCTAGACTCTAGGTTTTACCAAGACAAAAAAGATGTCTGCCCTCAGGGGGCTTTCAGTCTACTTGGGGGAGTGGGGGGGTGGAATACATTTGGTAAGGCAATTCATTATAAAATCTCTTCAAGAAGGCTTCAGTTTCAAGGCTATCCCTGTTCTCGTGGTAAAAGCACTGGATTTTGGACTGGGGGATCTTGGGTTCAAATTCCATTCAGCTACTGACTAGCTGTGTGATCTTGGGAAAATCATGGCATTTCCCTGGTCTTGTGTCCTCATCTGCAAAATGAGGGGTTTGGATTAATGTGAGTTCTAGCTCTAAACCTCGTGATCCTTTTGGTCTGAGAGAGGGTCTGTTTATTCTTAATTTTTTTCTGAGCATCAAGCTATAAAGCATATTTCTCCTCACAACACTTTGAAGTGGATGAGCAAATATTATCATTTTTATTTTGCAGATTAGGAAAGAGATGGGTTGGAAAGGATCTCTAAGACTATTCCACTCAACAAACATTTATTAAGCACCCCTTGTCACTGTACTATGTGACATATAGAAAGAAAGAAAAAATATTACTATATGGTCTCTGTCTTCAAGGAACATATATTCTAGTGAGGGAATCAACATGTACACAGAGAAGTAAATTTAAAATATATGCAAAGTAACTGGGAAGGAGAATTCAAGCTCTAGCTTGTTATATATGGGGAAAGTGAGACTGTAAGTTGTGAATTGACTTGCTCAAAGACACACACACATAGGTCATACAGAGTTAGTGGCAGTTAGAATTTAAATTCTCAATTTTGAATTCAGTGCTTTTTCCACTACATCAGGCTAAGTAAGGACGAATGGTCCCCAAATGCATCCTGGCCTCTCTCACGCCTTCTGTCTCTGCCCTCTCCCGCCATGCAGTTCTTCAGTCTCCCTCTTGCAGCCCGCTGGGGTGCCCACCACCACCAGTGTCTCAGCTGCCATCGATGCAGCCCTTGGAGACTTCAAGAAGAAGATTTGCAGACTGATCTTGGATGCCCTGCTGGAGGAGCTACAGGTCTGAGTCAGGACTATACCTCACTCTTCCCTGCTCCCCACCCGTCTAGGGCCTGAATAGGGGCACAGGACTGGGGGAGGAGACAGAAAGGGCCTAACTTTGCCTCCTTCGCTCTCAGCCCCTGTTTGTGGCCCTGCCCTCTCGCCAGTGGCTATCCAGTCTAGTGATGCTGGACAATGTGTGTGAGAAGACAGCCAGCTTCTGTTCACGATTCTCCAGAGTCCGGAGTACCATGGCTCAGGTGTGACATTTTAGCTGTCTGTTGAATAAATGATGAACCTATTCAAACTTCACTTTTTCTAATTTGTAAAATGAGGGCCAGCTTCTCTCTAAGGTTCCTTTCAGCTCTAAATTCTGTCTCTGATTTCATGCCATCCCAAACCCAGGTTCCTTTTCCCTCATTTTCTTCCTCATATTACGTGTGGTGTGTGTGTGTGCGGGCGTGACAGAGAGAGAGAGCGAGAGAGAGAGCAGGGCAGAGCTGGATCTAATTAGCGCCAGAAGGGGATGGGGGGACAGCTGTTCTTCCCAGGCTGAACATCCATCCCTTCCTCTGGGGCCTCAAAGATGCTGCTGGCTGAGACCGAGCGCGCAGTGGTGTTAGAGTATCTTCGGAGTTTGATGCAAGGAAAGCTCGTGTGCCGGAACTCGACGGAGAGAATCCAGGCGTCGGAGCGAATGTTGCAGGACTCAGCCCAGCTCAGGGAGCTCTTCCTTAGCTTGGTGAGAGACGAGAGCACTTCGCTGAGGGCAGCTTAGGGCCACAAGGTCGGGGGTTAGTGATGCCCCATGCCCCCTCCTTGGGGTCTCGGGCTCCTCGCTAATTCCTGGCCCACAACAGACTGTGCCAATCATTTGTTCCAGGAGCTGGAGGAGAGCGCGCAGACCGGGGCAGTCCTGGGTGCCCTGCAGGAGCTGTTTCGCCTCCAGGACCCAGCGCTGCTGAGCCTCGAGGTGTCCAGCTTCTTACACAAATTCCCCGATGTGAGGTACTGGGAGGTTAGCTTGACTAGCAGTCCTCGGAGGGGTAGGGGAGGGCTGTCCTCACGGGGAGGGGGTGAGTAGACCCACTCCCATCACCCCATCTGTCCCTAGCGAGGAGCATATCGGGGTGCTTCTGGACGTGCGTGGGGACGTGTCGCGGGAGCAGCGCCAGGTCGTCTTGGAGACCATGCAGGCCAACCCTCCTCCGTCGCCGCCGCCCGACGGCCATCGCCCGCTCTTCAGCCTAGTGCCAGTGCCCTCGCCTCCGCTGGCCTTCTGCTTTCCCGCTGGCTCCTGCTCCTGAGCGGATCCCCCTCAATAAACACCTAGAGCCGCCGCTCCCGAGTCTGCGCGTGAGAGGGAATAGCTCAGACCGCTCCCACCTCGCTCAGCCCCCGGCAGTGTGCGGCATACCCAGCACGCGCTGCGGGACGGGGCGAATCCGGGATGGGGGCGGGGCGCCTGGGGGCGGGCTAGCCATCGTCTAGGGCGGAGAGACGGCGCTAACTATGGTATGAGGGCGAGGCCATACGGCAAGGGGGCGGGGCTGAGTGGGGCGGGGCCGACGCATTCGCTGATTCGCTTCGCACCGCCCACACCAAGGAGGGTTAGAAGAATCAAAATGACTGCCCGCCTGGCTCGCCGAAGCTCCGCCCCTAGGTAGGCGGGGCCTAGGGCCGGTGGCCGAGCTGTAGCACCACGGCTCCTCCTCTCTATTCCCTCCCATCTCGCGGGCCTCGCAGCCAAGGAATAGTCCCTGAGGAATCCTCCCGCTTCTCGCGCAGCCGCAAAGGCTGACGCGAGCACGTCGCTGCGTGCATGCGTGCCGGCGTCGGGCTCCGGGCGGCCGGCTTTCGGCTGCAGTGCGGACACGGTGCTGCGGTGCCAGAAGGAGCCGAACGGAGTGGCCAGGTGGGGCGGGGCTGGGGGGCGGGTTCTGGGGCAGGCAGAGGCTGACGGCGAGTGCGCGCCCCCTGACACCCATACCCTCTCTCGCCCATTTCCTGCTGCGCGGGCCCCCTCCCGCCCCTTACTATTTGTTAGCCGGGGCCGCCCTCTTCTATTGGGTACAGAGGGCGCGCTCTTTGTGAGCTCCGAGGCCGCCCATTGGCTCGGGGCCCCGCCCCTCAGTGGCCCCGCCCCTCCCACATTCTCGGTTCTTTATTGGCCCACGGTCGTCTCCCTTATTGCCCCGCCCCTCGCCTTCCCAGCTTCCATTGGTCAGGACCGTTCCTCCTCTTTCGTCATCAAGCCCAGCTTTCTATTTGAGGTTCCCTTCCCACCCCTTTTAATTTACTACCTTGTGGGAACGTGGCTGATGGGTCTGCTGGGGTTGGGTGTCGTAGGGGTCGCTGGAAAATCGGGCAGGACCCTGCCCGCAGAGCGCTTCCAGTCTAGTGGGACCTGGCACAAGAACCATTAAATGTTGGCGGTCACGGAAGAGCGCAGTTAAATGAAATGGAAGAGATGGGACTGGAGGCCGGCCCCTTGATGTAGTGGAAAGAGCCCTGGTGATGAATTTTGGGGGCACCTGTTTGAATCCTGGGTCTTCTCTTTTCTAGCTTTGTGATTTGGGGCAAGTCTCTGGGCCTTGGCTTCCATTCTGTAAAACGAGGAAGTTGGACTGGACCTTTCCGAAGGTCCTTTCCAGTTTTAAAGCCATGGGCTTATCTGTATATAGATAAATGGGTGCAAAGGCAAGAGCCATTCCAAAATTGTAAATATATATGTTTTACATTATTATATACTTATATACTTATTATTGTTATATACTTATATGCTTATTTACATATGTGGCTTAGCTTTTCAAATAAATTGTATACATTCCTTGAAGACCTTATTTTAACTCAACCTTATTCCCAATACCACATCAAAGGGCACTTGAAAATACATAGTAATCACCCAATAAATATTTGTCAGTAGTGGAAGATTGGCCCCAGACACTAGCTGTGTGTGACTCTGAGTAAGTCACTTAACCTCTGTTTGCCTCAGTTTCCTCTTCTATGAAATGGGAATAATAATAACACCTCCCATAGTTGTTATAAGGATCAAATGAGATAATATTTATAGAGTGCTTAGCATGGTGTCTGGCTCGGACTAGGTGCTTTATAAATATTAGATGTTATTATACAATGGACAATGTTGGTTCCAAATTATTGAAATCAAAGCACATATTATTTCTTCTTATTAACAAAAGGTCAGCTACAAATGGGAAGTGATACATGCTCAAAGTTTCAGTAGGCTCTAGTGAATGCTCTTGTATAACTTTTTTAACGGGAAAACACTGTGGAGGGTGAGCTGGAAGGGTTCTTTGTAGGGAAAGCCAAGATAAAATATATATTAAAAAAAAAAAGCACTGGTTTTGGAGTTGTGGGATCAGGGTTTGAAGCCTGACTGCTACTGTACACCATTGGTCAAGTTACCAGTTACAAGTTTCCCTTCTCTGGACTTCTGTTTCTTCATTTGTAAAAGGAGAGATTGGAATGAGGTGATTTTTAAGGGCACGATGTCAGCGGGCCCATCTAACTCTAATGCCTAAGATTCTGTAGTTGAGTGTAGAGCTGGAGTGTTAGATTGGGAGTCATCTGTGTGCATAGAAAAGAGTGTTAGTTTAGAGCCACAGGAGTGGATGGGTTCTGTGTGGGAAAGCATGTGGAGCAGGGATTGGGAAGAAGAAGAAGAAAGTGAGATTTTGCCTCACTATTTCTCATTGAGAAATGGAAGCAAGATAACTAGGAGAACATCAATGAGATATTTGTTGTGATCGCCTGGGCCAACTGTCTCATTCTACAGAGGAGGGAACTGAATCTCAGAGAGGTTGGAAGGAAAGGAAGTTACCAGGTCAGCCTTGGCTTTAAAATTGGCTCTTTGCCAGGTTTTTTGGGCTCCAAGTCTCAGCTGGACTCTGGCCGTCATAGCCCTCCAGAAGTTACCTAGTCCATTTTCCTCTCTTTGGGCAGGGCAGATGCTCTGCCAGTGGATCTCAGGCCTTCTTGGGTTAGGAGATGTTGGTTGCAGATTTCTTGAGTGACTTCAGTACAAACACTGAGGATTTTTTCTATGGACAAGGGGGTAGAGACTCCTTTGCTAATTCTTAGCAGTACTTGAAAGTTATGAGGAGTCTCATTCCCTCATTTTCTGCATTTTCTCTTCCCTGGGGACTTGGACTCATTCTCAGCCTTCTTCCATGATGATTTCTATCCTCCTTAATAGTGCCCCTTCCCCCTACCTTGAAAGGTTGATGAAAATGAAACCCCTTTCCCTAACTTGCCCTAGGCTCAAGAGTGCCTGTAGGGCCTTGGATATTTGGTCAAAAGACCTGGGAAGGTAACAACAACCACAGCCAGCATTTATATAGTGCCTGCTGTGTGCCAGGCCCTGTGCTAAGCACTTTACAGTTATTATTTTGTTTGAGCCTCCTGAGAGATAGGTGCTAGCATTATTCCCATTTTACAATTGAGGAACGTGAGGTAGCAGAGGTTAAGTGACTTGCTCAGAGTTACACGAATGGTAAGTGTCTGAGGCTGGCTTCGAACTCATGTCTTTCTGTTTCAAAGGCCCAGCATTCTCTCCACTGCACCACCAGCTGCCTCATTCCCATCTCCTTACTAGTTGTCACTGTGGGCAATCACATAATCCTCCCTAGGTTTCCATTTCCTCCTCTCTGAATGGAGAGAGTTGTATTAGGATATCACTGAGGACCTTTTCAGCATTAAATCACAATTCTCGAGTCATGGTTGAGACTAGGGGATGCTAGTGTTATATATAGCAGAAAGAGCTCAAAAGATGGGAATTTCAGTCCATTCACTTAACCTGTCTGGGCTACACACTTGACCTGTCTGAGCCTCAGTTTCCCCACCTGTAAATGGGCATGATCATTGCATTACATACCTCACAAGGTTCTTGTAAGGAAAAAAAACCACTTTGTAAACCTGCAAAGAATTGCATAATGGCTACTGTTACTCTTGTCACTATTTTTTTTGCCCTTTTCATCTTGATTATCTCCTCGTGTTCCATGAAATTCAGATCAAAACAGTAGGGGAGTAGAGAGCAAGTTGCTAACCTTCTTTTACATGTAGTATTCTGCAAATTCTTGAACAGTCATTGTAAAATATTTACGAAGTACCCCACTCTGTGCCAGACACCATATGGAGACATACAGAGAAAGGCCACGGACAGCCCCTGCTCCTGAGGAGCTTGTGGTCTAATGGAGGCAATTCTATACAGATGATAGGGAACGGCATAGATCGGAGGTGGTTTCGGAGGGAAGGCACTCGATTTAAGGAAGATGAAGAAAGTCTTCCTATAGAAGATGAATTTCAGCTGAGACTTGAAGGAAGCCAGGAGGTGGAGATGAGGAGGCGGGAGAAACAGCCAGTGAAAACATTCAGAATCGGAGGATGGAGGGTATTGTTTGAGCAGCAGCCAGGAGGCCGCTGTCACTGAAATGCAGAGTGCAGAGAGGGTAGGAAGGTATGAGAAGACTGGAAAGACAGGAGGGGCCAGCTCATCAGGGGCTCTGAAAGATTTTGTATATGATCTGGGAGTAATAGGAAGACACTGGAGTTTATTGAAGGGGTGATGTCAGATCTGCATGTTAGGAAGATCATTTTGACTGCTGACGTGAAGCAGGGAGCCCATTCCACAGGCTTCTGCAGGAGATGAGGGCCTGCCCCCAGGTGGTGATAGTAACAGAGGAGAGAAGGAGGGGTATTTGAGAGAGATCTCTGAAGGTAGAAACTGCGGGATTTGCTGACTGGTTGGATGTCAGAGGTGAGGGAGGATGTGAGCTTGGATACCGGAGGATGGCTGGTAGTACCCTTGACAATGATGGGGTAGTTAGGAAGAGGGGAGCATTTTTTTAGCAATTGAATTAAAATTTGGGGCTGTCAGCACACCTTCTGTTGGCTCATTGAAAGCATCTTCAGGACAGTGCCAGTAGCAGAAAGGACAACAGGTGGGACACGTACATGGTTTCGATTTCTTCTTCTGGATGTTTATTTTTTGAAAGCTTCCTATACTATTAGTGTGACTTTTGTTAGAAACATTCTTAAGTCTCTATGGATCAGTGTTATGTCTGGGCCCGGTTGGGGCAGTCATTGTTTTTAGGATTATGCTCTAGTTCCAGTATAATTTATTTTAAATTCTGAAGAATATATCCTAATTGAATTGGGCACACCAGTATCGCCCTCGCTTTACCCAGCTTACGGGGCTTTATCAGCCTTTGTGAAGCATCAGAGAAATGCACAGGATGATGCAGGCTCCTGCTCTGCAGGGCCTCTCCACACCAGGTTGTTTTAGCACCCCTAGCCCCAACAGCAGATGCTGCTCACACGAGCCACTCACGGACTTTCTTTCCAAGGGACAGGATACATTTGAGGGAGTCTCTAACAGTTACAGTTTGGCTCATTTTGGGGGGAAATTCTAACCTTTAATACATTTAGTGACACCCCTTCCCCCACAAAAAGAATAAAGTAACAAGAGCTGTTGTGTTGTTGATGAAAAAGACTCTGGAGAGAGACTCAGCTAGATAATAATAACGACATTTACGTGGTGCTTTGTTCTCTGAAGAATTTGACAGATAGATCATTTTGTCCTCGTGTGAGCCTTGGGAAGCAGGGGCTGTTCTCACCCCCATTCTGCAGTTAAGGACACTGACTGAGACAGACAGAGATTGAGTGAGTCGCCTAAGGTCACACAACTAGTGTCTGAGACAGAATTTGACTTGAGTCTTCCCTACTCCAGACCTGGCGCTTTGCCCACTGTAAATTGCAAAGAAGATGCCACTTGCCACTAGAGAGAGGACATTCTTTACCAGGAACTCCCCAAACTGAAGAAATTGCAGGTCTAATTTTTTGGGTTTTGTTTTCTGAGAGTTTTGGGGGGGGCAATTGGGGTTAAGTGACTTGTCCAGGGTCACACAGCTAGTAAGTGTCTGAGGCCAGATTTGAACTCAGGTTCTCCTGACTCCGGGCCCAGCTCTATCCACTGTGCCACCTAGCTGCCTCGAAAGTCTCATTTAAAAAAAAAAAAGCAAGTCATGAGCTGAAGAGATGACCAGAGGAAGAAGGGATTGTAGAAGTCATCTTGTCCCATCCTCTGCTCTTACAAGAAGGGAACGGAGGCCCTCCCAGGCTCTCACTCTGAGTTACAGCAGAGCCCCTGGTGCTTTGTACAGCCCTTCTGTTGTTGTTGTTGTTGAACCTTTTTTTTTTTTAAAAAAAAGTTATTTAAATTAATTAATTTTTAGTTTTCAACATTCGCTTTTATAAGATTTTGAGTTCTAAATTTTCCCACCTCCCTCCCCAAGATAGCATGCAACCTGATATAGGCTCTACATGTATGATCCTATTAAACATATTTCCACATTGGTCATGTTATGCGGCCTTTTTTTTAACCATACCACACAGGCCTTCCTTCACAGACTTTGGGGCTCAGGGTCTAAGCTGGAAATCTGGTGAACTCTCGAGGACAGAAAGTTGTTTCTTCTTGGAAGGTCACTTAGAGACAAACATCCTCTGCGTTGACCCTTCAGCAGTTTATCGTTTCTGTATTGGCTTTTTTCGGTGTTAATCTAAGTCAGTCAAACCAGCATGTATTAAGCACCTACTGTGTGCTAGGTGCTATGGATACAGACGTTTAAATAGGGCAGTCAATCGTTGTGTCCTTTCCATTGCCAAAGATAATGTTGATTTAATTATTGTTCCTTGAGCTAGAGTAGACAGTGGGAATGGGGAGGGTTAGATTGGGAGCAGAGGGGTATGCCTACAGAGTATTGGATGCCCGTGCTCTACTAGCTATACCTTGGTGTCTGAGGGGTTAGCTGGATGGAATGAAGAAGCATGGTGTGAGTGTTTCGGCCAGGTAGAAAGGGAGGAAGGAAGAGGGAGGGAGAGAGGGAAGAAGAGAAGTGATGGAGGGAAGGAAGGATGGGAGGAATAATGTGCCAGGCATTATACTAAGCACTTTACAAAATAGTATCTCTTCGATTCTCACAACTATCCTGGGAGTTAGGTATCATTATTATTCCCATTTCATACTTGAGGAAACTAGGGCAAACAGGTTAAGTGACTTGCTCAGGATTACCCAGCTAGCAAGTGCCTGAGGCTGGATTTGAACTCAGGTCTTCCTGAGTCTAGGCCCAGCACTCTGTTCACTGAGCCACCAGCTGCTTCTGGAGAGCTGAGTCAGGTGATGACTGGCTTACCACCCATCCACTTTCTCAGTCCTCCTTGGATGCTGAAGATATCTGCCCTCAGACAGTAATCTGCTCCCCCCACCTTCTTTTTCTTATGATAAACACACCTGATTCTCCTTTCCTTTCATCATCACCTTTGTCCGATTCCCTGACTCCACATCCAGTGTCTTTTCCACAACATCACATTATATCCTGCCATGTCATTGTCTAACCAACATTCCGACTTTGTCTCATACACCTCATATCATTTTGTGTCCCTACAGGCCAGGATCGAGGGCAGTGGGGGATCACACACCCAGATGTGACCCTTCTCAGAGAGCAGGATGGTGCTGGACTCGGGGACCGAGGCCTATGAGCAGGCACCCCCTTCCATGTCTGTCAGCCCCCCCACTGTTTCCGGGGTGGGGAAGATCTCAAAGCAGAATGGGCCACAACTGTACCCCTCTATCCAGCCACCGAAATCAGCCCCCAGCTCCCAGAAACCCTCCCTGGTCATCCCAGTACATCCTAGATCCTCTGTGTCCCAACCATCAGGCCTGGCCTCTTCCCGCCCCAATGTCCAGAGTCCCAAGTCTGAAATAAGACGACTGTCATCGACCTCACTGGGTCGTGGTCGGATCCGGCGCAGTGAGAGTTCCTGCTCAGTCGGAGGGTCCAGCAGAAAGGGACGCCTCCGGCCCGCCTCCTCCCTGCCCCACATTGCTAAATGCAAGGTAGAGGAAAGCCGGGCAGCCAGCAAGAGCCCCTGCCTGCTGGTAGCCTTGAGACCCAACAACTTGGAGCAAGAACGAGACCGGTTCTTCCAGTCAAGGTACACCTACGACCCGCAGTTTGAGTATGAGGAGCCGATTCCCGCTGCCGTGTTGGAAAAATACAATGAGGCCTCGGACAAGTTCATCCCCCAGGTCAGGGAGCCAGGGACGCCCCCTTTCCCCATGGTTTTCGGCCCCCTCTCCCCGGTGTAGTGGGTTCCATGGGAACAGGAAGGGGCTCCTGCTCTGTCTCCACCGGCCCTCCCCTCATCTCCTTCCCTGCGGCTCCTGGACTCATCCTCTCTGGCCCCCCAGCAGCTGCTTTCCCCTCCAGTGTTACCTGTCTCTTTCCCTCCTCCTGCTCTCCTAGTCTCACCCTCAGCTTCATGCTGAATTCCCGCCAGCCCCCGGCCCAGGGATAAGTGCAGGCTGAGGCCGTGGCTGGGATAAGGGTGACAGCCCCTGGCGGCGGGGTGTGTATGGCAGGCGGTGGGGATCATTGAAGCAGTCCTGGAGAAGTATGGGACCTACGAGCAGTTTGAGGCGATCACGGGAGGCCAGCTGCTGACGAAGTGCCAGATCTGGTCCATCGTCCGCAAGTACATGCAGAAGGAAGGCTGCACTGGAGAGGTGAGGCGTGGCAGGGAAGGCATCCTTCCTGGCCCACTCTGTGCACAATGAGGGGCTCCTGGGGAGCAGAGGCATGGTGGGGAGGCCTCCAGCCCAAGCTTCATTCCTCCCTGGGAGCACTGGGCAGGGGCAGAGAACTCAGGCTTGCCTCTGCCTTCCCCTCTGGCAGGTGGTGGTGCAGCTGAGTGAGGACCTGCTGTCCCAAGCAGTGATGATGGTAGAGAACAGCCGGCCCACGTTGGCCATCAACCTGACCGGGGCCCGCCAGTACTGGCTGGAGGGCATGCTGCGGCATGAGATAGGTCAGGAGGAGGGGCCCACCTTCCAGGCTAGCAGACATACTGTGTCATGGGATAGAGAAGGCCCACGCTGGTCTAGGAGATTGGGGGTGGTGGGCGGGGGGAATGGACACAAAGGGGAAGCTGGGAGGTGGGGAGACTTGCAAAGGAAGCAGAGCTTTGGGTGGGTGGTGGAGCTGGGTAGAGGCTGGGTGTAACTCATGGGGGAGGGATCTGGGGGAGTAGTCTGTGCCCCAGTAATCTCACTCCCTTTATTTCTTCCCCTCCTTCCCTGAGGACGGTCCCTCCCAGGAATGGCCAGCTTCCTCATCCCTCTCACTCACAGAGGTAGGCAGGCAGAGCCCCTCTTAGGGGGCCCATCTTCTCTGCCAGTCCATTCTTACCCTTCTGGGCCTTACCCTCTCCTCACTAACTTTTTCTCTGGCTTCTTCCCCATCTCATTTGGGTTGAGGCAGGGGGTACTTAGATCTGGCCCGGAGCTAGAGAGAAAGAACCCAAGTGTCCCACCTGCCCAGCTAGAGCCTCCAAGCCCCACTGACTGTAGTACTTGGTCTTCTTGTGCCCTTTTAACGCGCCCCCCCCCCCAATAAAAACCTCCATGCTGTAGGAGGAAGCTGCCAGAGGGAGGAGGGGATGTCATGGTGAGAATCTCAGTGCCCAGTCTGGTCATGTGCACAAAACTTTGTGGAGTGAGGAGAAAAGGAGGGTTTGGGGGGGATGGAGGGGGCCTCTGCCTGGGTTCACTAATCACTTCTCCTTTCCTTCTGTCTCATCTCTTGAAGAATCCTGTTAACTCTGGGCATGAGATGTCTGCAGAGAGGCTGGGGTGTGGCTGGGGGGGCAGGCAGGATGAGCATGTCTGTGGGGGAGGGAGGGAGTGAAGGTTTGTCACAAAGGCTTGGCTCGTTATGTGGTGAGTGTGACTGTGGTCTTTTTGTGGGCCTCCTTGTTGTGTATGTCTGTGAATTTGTGTCAGAGTGAATGAGCGAGTGTTTCTCACGTGTGGCAAGTGTACGAGTGAAGGTGTGTAGAGGATGGCGATCCCCCTGAAGCTTGGCGGAGGGAGGGCTGTGCATCGCTTCTGGGGGCAGCTGGGGAGGGGGCTTTCCTTGGGCTGTGGTCCCCAGCTCTCCTTACCTCCTCACAGGCACCCATTATCTTCGATTTGTCAATAACACTCAGCAGCCTTGGAATACCTCCGATGGCCGGCGGCAGTATGGGCTCCGGCCTGCCAACCCCACGGAGGAGGGGCTGGCCAGCCTGCACAGCGTGCTTTTCCGGAAACAGCCGTTCCTGTGGCGGGCGGCCCTGCTGTACTACACCATCCAGCGGGCGGCCCTGATGTCCTTCCGCCAGCTCTTCCAAGATCTCGCACAGTATGTGCAGGACACGTCGGTGCGCTGGGAGTACTGTGTGAGGGCCAAGCGGGGCCAGACAGACACGTCCAAGCCTGGTGAGGGAACCCCAGATGCCGCGTGCTCTAGACCTGGAGAGGAGGGGAGCGGAAGGGTGGGTGTGCGGAGCAAACAGGCCCACAGAGGAAGAGGGACGCACCCAGGATCACCCAGTGAGTTTGTAGCAAAGTCAAGATGAAAACCTGGGTCTTCTGGTGTGATTCAGTCCATTCCCTGAGCTCCACTTCTCAAGCCGCAGTCCCCATCACCCACCCCCATTCCCTCAGTTTGTGAGTGACTTGTATTCCCAAGAATCATTTATAAAGGGGTTCCTTAGAACTTGAACCACCTCATCTTGTGGAAGAATGCCACTCACAGGCCCAGGTCCTGGCTCTGCTGCTTGTAACTGATATGAGGTGGGCAGATCTTCCTGGACCTGGAGTCTCCACTTGTAAAATAACTATTATGGCGGACTTACCCCATTTTGGTTTGTAGAATGACTTGTTAACCTTAGGTGAGGTGCGCATATAGGTATCGCTGTCCTCATTTTACAGAGGAGGAAACAGTCACAGAGTGGTGAGGTGACCTTTTTCGTAGCTGTGAGGATCTTCTGAAGGCACAGCCTGGTGCTCTTTGGAGTGCCCCGTAGCGTGAGTCAGGTGACCTCTAAGGTTCCCTTCTAGCTGTAATAGTCTGACACCCTGGATCCGTCTTTGATGAAGTAACTCCTTTGAGATTTAGGCAGTAGGCAGGAGGGGGCTGAGGGGGAGGAGGGTCCTGACTTCCCCAAATATGGCAGAGACAAGAGGGAGGAGCTGACAATAGCAGGGGCAGCCCTGGCTGGGGCAGCTATACTCACGGGGTGTTTATCAGCTGGGGACCGCTCATCCTGGGGAATCCAAAGAGGTAGGTCCTTGACCCATGGTGGGCCGTCCCAGGTCTATGGACAGTAAGACGTGGGAATAGGGCCTGAATAAGGAAGTGCCTGCTGTTACCTCTTTGTCCCACTATTCAGTGGGGGGTATATAGTGACGTACCAGGAAGATGCCTAGCGTGCCCGTTGTCTACCTCATCCATTTTCTAGGGCCAGCCACAGTCCCAAAGCTAGAAGGTTTGAGGAAGAGAATTCTGCCTTTTCTAAACTCAGCCTGCAGACCTAGGTGTGCCCTAGGTGCTCCGTGTGGGGGTGAGAACCCTTTATCAGTTTGTCCAAACTCTTTTTGGACTATTCCTTTTTCTTGGCAAGATCGCTTGGAGGGATCCATCCGCTGAGTGCCCCGTGTTTATGGAGAGGAAAGGTCAGACATGTTCTGAGGGGGTAGATGTTGCAGGGGCATGTCCAAAGATGAGAGCTCTCTGTGAGTGGACATGGGCTGCCCCAGGAGGTAGTGAGCTCCCCGTCAGTGAAGGTCTTCAGGTGAAGACTAGATGATGTTTTGGGGATATTGTAGAGGGTTAGACTCCTGAAGTCACTTCCTGCTGAGCTTCTGTGCCTGAGTGCCTCCCTCCTCCCTGGAGGGGAAGGTCTCTGAGTCTCTTCACACCTTGCAGGCTGCTTCAGTAAGGACCAGGTGTACTTGGATGGGATTCTGCGCATCTTGCGGCACCGGCAGAATATCGATTTCCATATGCTGACTGCTTTGGGCAAGGTGAGGCCGGCCCCGTGGGAGGGGGCTCCATCTTCTCCCCTCAGGGCAGCTCATGGGCCTGTCTTTGTCCGGTGCCTTCCCCATCGACAGGCCTTGTGAGTATGTCAGGAGCTTGCTGGTGTGTGGCTGGCCCTCAGACCAGAGAGAGCTGCTGCGTTGTGGTGGACAGAGCGCCAGCTTTGGCTTTGGAGTCGCGGCACCAAGGGCCACAGGCCAGCTGGGCCGCGGTGCAGTTGTGCGACAGGAGGCAAGTCACTGGACCTCTCTCCTGCTCGGTGGTGGCCGAGGTCCCTGTGATCCTCTCTCTCTCCTCCCCCCCCAGGTCTCCTACGAGGATGTGAATCAGCTCCGGCCCCACGGGAAGCTGGAAAAGACTCGGATCCCTCACTTCATGCAGGACCTGACGCGCTACCGCCAGCAGCTGGAACACATCATCGCCACCAATCGCTTGGATGATGCCCAGCTAGACAGCCTGTTGCCAGACTGAGAGGCTGAGGGTGGGGGCCAGGGATCAGGGGAAAGGAAGATCCTGGGTCAGCTCCATCAGCAATGGGCAGTAGCCTTGCCAATGTTTCCTTGCCCTGGATATTGGGGAACTGGGGGGAAGGGGCGGCTTAATATATGCTAGAACCCCCTCTGGAAGGGAGCTTTGGAATCTGTCTTCAAGCCTAGAACGAAAAGGGAATTCCTCTTAGAAGGCCAGAAAAATAGATACTGAGGCTGCCCCGTCCACATAGAATGAAGAGATCCCAGCAGGGTGAAAAAGGAAGATTGACTTGGTTTGGCTTAATAGGGAGGGGAGAGGGAGCTGGCTCTGTGAGTGTGTGTGCCTGTGGGGGAGGAGAATGAGTGTGATCTCATGTGTAAGAAGTGGGGCAGGGAGGGGAGGTGTCTCCTTGTGCATGAGACAAATACAGTAAGCTTCTGGGGCTCACAGCTAACCCTCTACCTGCTGTGCTCCTCCCACCCTCCGCTGGCAGGGACTGATGCTCCCCTGCCCCCAGACAGTCATTCTAGCCTCTTGGTGCTCTTAGACCCCTTGACGTCTACCTCTCGCCGGGCTTTTGTGGAGGACAAAACATCCATGTACCCCTTCCCCAGCCAAGGCCCTGGCACTGCTGCTCACCTTCTGGGTGTACCGTCGCTCCTCCTTCCTCCACTCTGACATCTGTCCTTTCACCTGCACTACTGTCGGACTCCAGATTCCCTCTTCCAGTGCCCAGAATTTCGACTCCCTTAACCTCCTGCCCATGTACTCAATGAAACAATTGAAAGGGGATGAGAGGAACGGAGTGGATGGGGCTGGCATGCTGGTCCATAGACCCCAGCAGTTAGTTCAGGCATTTACTAAGCGGCGACGGTGTGTAAGGTCCTGTGCCCATCCCTGAGGGTAGAAAGAGGAGAAACAAGGCTCCCTGTCCTCAAGAGAGCTTAAAGCCTAGTTAAAGGGAGGTATGGCACACAGATATATGTCTGATACAAGGTAGATTGTGAGAGGGGCACAGGATGGATCCGGAAAGGGGGCTCTCAGACATTGGGTGAAGGCAAATGGTGGGAATGGCTTCTGTCACTCCCACCTGTTGGGGTTCATAACCTGGGCAGGGAGAGATGTGCTTGGTTAATTGTGTATTGGGTGGGGATGATACTCTGTGATCTTTGCTCCTCTTCCCTCCCCTCTTTTCCTGCTGCTGCCTCAGGCTTGCATGGAAGTTACTGAATTCCATTCCCTAGGACAGGGGTTGAAGTTTGGGTTCAGTCAGAGGGCCGCCCTTGAGGACCTAGAGGGCCACGTGTGACCTTGAGGCTACAGGTTCCCCACCCCTGCCCTAGGAGAGCTGTGTTGTTCCCTTTCCCCTAATACACACCCCACTTTAGGAAAAGTGTGTGAGTCCCGAAGGAATATCTTTTAAGAGTAGAGGGCACTGTCCTGAGTGCTGTGGAGAGGTTGAGCTCTTTATTTGAGCCCTGGTCTGCCCTCAGGGAGTTCCCTACCTCCAGAGGCCCCCAGCCTTGTCTTCTCTCTGTTCCTGAGTTTCTGCTTAGACCTGGATTTTAGCAGTGCATTTCACCAGGTCTCTGGTGGTACAGTTGTGAACTAAATGAAATTTGTGGGTGGATAATAATACAGTTAGGTGACGTTTGAACCCTTTGGATACTGAATTTGAGAGGGAATCAGTGGATCACTGCCAGCCTGAAGGGGCATGTCCATGGGCCACAGCAGGTTTTGGTCTTTGGCCCTGTTTTGGTGTTTTTTAATCAGTGATGTGAATGAAGGCAGTAAATTTCTGGGTAATGTAGAGTAAGGAGAGAGAACTAATATATGGGTGATAGAATCAGGATATAAAGAGGCCCAGGCAGTCTGGAAGTAATGATGGAATTTAATGTGGATTCATTTGTGTAAAACCCTCTGCTGAATGCTGGCTTTACTAATGTTATTGAGGCATTTACGGTCTAATTAATGGTGCAGGAAATGAACAGAAAGTCTTTTTACTTGGTGGGTTACTTATTTTTTATTTTTTGTGCCATCCACCTCACTGGGAGGTTGTGTGGACACACCATGTCTTCACTTGTTATGGAGATGGCAGAAGTTAACAAATGCGTGGAGGAGAATGCTTGAGGCACCAGTGCTGGGTTCTAGGGGGAAATCGATGCTCTGTCAAGCCCTAGCCCTGTTACTGACCACCTCTGATGCTGGGCAAGTCTCTTCTGAGGCTCAGTTTCCTCTTCTGTAAACTGGAGGGCCATGAGTTTTAGAATATGTTCAGGGCCTGATTATGACTTTGGAGGATGGAGGTGACCAGCCACCTCTCAGAATGTTTTGGGGCACATGCATATGTGATGCACCAACAGTGTAACTCAAACAAAGGCAGGATTGACAGTGCTTTCCTCAACCATCCTGTGACATTTTAGAGATGAACAGGACTGGATACTGTAGCGGTTTTGTTTCACAGACTAGTATTCAGGCTCAAATGGGTAAAGTGACATCCAAGGTCACTGTGTCGGAGGCAGGACTAGAATCCTGCCCTCTGCAGACGCATGGCCATTGCCAAAGCAAACAGTGCGTGTTACCTTTTTGTTCACGGCTTATTTTCCAATTCAGAGGTTGGTATTTTTTGTTGATCTAATTTCCTCCAAACACAAATGTTGAAAAATGGGCAGGAGGCCAGTTAGATGGGGTATTTTTTGGCTTGGACCCCGTCTCCAAGACCCCAAGCCATCTTCAGCCTGGCCTGGTCAGTAATTTCCTCAGGACCTCTCCTGGTTGTGCCCTTCAGTGCTGCTAGTAGCTGAATTATTGGTGGGGACTCTTGGCCCTATGGAAGGAAACAGGCCTTGAGCCCCTGATTCCATTGCCCTCGATTCTGTACCTCCCCAGGAGATGTTTTTGTTTTACCATTTCCACCCCCCATCCCAGGAACCTAAAACAATGATCAGAACTATCCAGAAGCTTAGATCACTACTGGTATCTTAACACCATTGGGAAGAGGCCCTGACCTGTGGCTGTGGCAGGGGTCAGACTTGTTCAGGAATTGCTTGGCTCAGGGGCTTGGAGTTGGGAGCCCTCTACTGTAATCCCTCAGAGGATGTCTGAGGAATTCTCAGCTTCCTTTTGCTCATCTGTAGAACAAGGGGGTTGGACTGGATCCCTAAGGTCCCTTCTACCTCGAAATCCAATGATTCTCCATTAGCAAGGAGGGTGGGGAGTGTGCATCGAAGTCAAGGGGGTGGGTTCCCTGGAGGCTAGTCTTGATGTGCCCCATGGATGCCCTCTTTACTCTGTGCCCACACAGCTGCCCTAGCAAAGCCTTTGTCTGGATACTCCTATTGTTTACTACTAGCCTAGCTGAGGAGTGAAGGCTCAGGTGCTGTCATGAGATTCACTTTAACTGAACATATATTTAGTGCCAACTGTACGGGTCAGGGTTGGGAGGGTTACCCCAACTCCTTGTCTGTTGATGCCTGGAACTGGACATGAGTTTTCTCTTTACTCCTTTATTCCTCCCCCCAGAAAAGAGGGGTAGGAGGAACTTTGGAATAAAATTATTTTTGATCTTACACCATCACTTTGGCCTTTCTTTTTTTTAACATTTCCTTGATGTCACATCACAATCATTTCAACTCCACCTCTAGATCAAACCCACCATTGTGGCAAAAACAGTTATGAAGAAACTTGTAATAGAGTGGTGGCAATGCATAAAGCATACCAGCTGTGCTGGTAATCCCCCTCTCTCCCCCTGAAGGAGCTGCTTCACGAGATTCCTCAGCTGTTCCAAGCTTCTGTCCTGTAGTGCCATCTTCATTTACTCTGCTGTAGTCATGGAGTGTTGTTCTCCTGGCCCTGCTTATTTACCCTGTGTCGATTTGTACAAATTTCCTATGTTTCTGAATACTTTATTTTCATTATTCCTTACTGCACGATAATATTCCATTGCATTCATAGACAATAGTTTGTCCAGCTATTCTCCAATTTATGGGCACTCCCTCAGTCACCACAGAGTGCAGCGATGCTGCTTTGATTATTTTGGCCTATATTGGACCTTTGTTTCTGACTTTGACTTCCTTCGGGCATAGGTCCACTAGAGAATTCACTTCATTGCAAGGGTATAGACAGGTTAACTTTTTTTTTTTAATCAAGTCAAGAAGCATTAAGCAATGAGAATACAAATGCACGCAGGATGAGATAGTCTTTGCCCTCAAGAAGCTTACATTCCTTTTCATTTGAATAATATTTTTCCAATTGCATGTTAAAACAATTTTTAACATTGGTTTTTTAAAAATTTTGAGTTCCAAATTCTCTCCCTCCCTCCCCAAGAAGGTAAAGCAATTTGATATAGGTCATACATATACAGTCATGCAAAACATTTCCATATTAGTCATGTGAAAGAAAACAAACAAAAAAAAGCCCAATAAGAAGTTGAAAAATAGTATGCTTTGATCTACATCCAGACTCCATCAGCTCTTTCCCTGGAGGTGGATAGCATTTCCATCATGAGTCCTTTGGAATTGTAGTGGATCATTGTGTTCCTGAGAAGAGCTAAGTCATCCACACTTCTTCACTGAAAATATTGCTGTTACTGTGTGCAGTGTTCTGGTTCTGTTTACTTTGCATCAGTTCATGTTAATCTTTCTAGGTTTTTCTGAAATCATCCTGCTTATTTCTTATGGCAGAATAAAATTCCGTTATAATCGTATACCACAACTTGTTCAGCTATTCCCCAATGATGGCCATTCCCTCAATTTCCAATTTTTTTGCCACCACAAAAAGAACTGCTATAAATATTTTTTTACAAATAGGTCCTCCCCCCCACCCCATCCCCACTCTTTTTTTTTTTAATCTCTTTGGGATACAGACCTAGTGGTGGTATTGCTGGGTCAGAGGGTATGTACAATTTTATAGCCTTCTGGTCATAGTTCCAAATTGCTCTCCAGAATGGTTGGACCAGTTCACATCTCCACCAACAATGCATTAGTAAAGAAGATGACATTTTAATGGTGGGGGAGTGGAAGGGGTAAAACCTCATGGGGCATAGTAGATGTCTAGAGTCAAGAGTGCAGCCTAGAGGGATAAACACATGACAGACCTGGATATCCTTCATAAAATGGATATTCTGGGAGAAACCAGCCACTTAGAGGAAGAGGTCATAGAGCAGAGGATGTGCCAGGGTGAGAAGTTGAGGGGTGAGTAAACTAGGATGAAAAAAACAGTTTTCTGTGATATGGTAGAGAAAATCTGGAAAGCTAGAGGTACAATCTGGAAATGAATTCCAAATCGACATCTAGAACAGCTGGTCTGTTTCACAGCTCTGCCACCAATAATAGCGTCCTTGTCTTTCCACACCTCCGGCATTAACTATTTCCATTTTTGATCATCATTGCCAATTTCTGTGGGATGAGGTAAAACCTCCGTTGTTTTGCAATGTGTATTTCTCTTATTAGCAGTGATTTGGAACATGTTTCCATGAGGTTCTTTATATTTTGCAATTCTTTTTGAAAACTTTGTCCGTTGACCATTTATCTTAGCTCTCTGATCTTGGAAATAAGAGGGATGGGATGGAATCACTGGTGTGAGAGGGAGGATTGGGCAGTAGAGGAGCTTGGATCACTAGCCCTGCATTAACAAAGAAAGCCCAAGTGCTCAGGTAGTTTCAGCTTTCCACTCCTATAATTTAGCAAGTCCCATCTACCTTAGCTCATTTGTCTTATATTTTAATAATACCTTTTAAAAAACAACTTAAGGTTCTGTTCTCTGTCCTGGATCTGTTTTCTGGCTCAGTTGTTTTTCCAATGAGATATTTCACATTCTCTTATATTTTTTTCATTCTTTTGGATTAGTGTTACAGTGCCTTAATTTCTCAAATTGTCACTAGCTTCCAATTTCTCCATTCTAATTTTTAAGGAAGTATTTTCTTCAGTAAGATTTTGGACTTCCTTTTCCATTTGGCCAATTTTGCTTTTTAGGGCATTCTTATGATGGGCTTTTTGGACCTCTTTTGCCATTTGGGTTAGACTATTTTTTAAGGTGTTTTTTTGGTATTAAGGTATTTTTTTGGGACTCCTTTAGCATCACTCTCAGTTTTTCCTCTACTTCTCTTACATGCTTCTCAAAATCCTTTTTGAGCTCTTCCATGCCTGGGACCAATCCGTATTTTTCTTGGAGGCTTTGGATATAGGAGTTTTGGCTTCATTGTCTTCTTCTGGCTGTATGTTTTGATCTTCTTTGTCACCAAAGTAAGATAATATAGTCGTACTCTTTTTGAGCTGTTTTCTCATGATCCTGGCCAATTACTTGAGTTATAAACTCTTTGTTAAGGTAGGAGTCTGTTTCCAGTGTGGAGAATGTATTGTCCCAAGCTTCAGGGGTTTTGTGCAGCTGTTTTCAGAGATACTTCTAGGGACCTGTAAATTTTCAGTTCCTCCAAGGTGCTATGATCAAGGGTGAGGTGTTTACTCCTTTCTGGTCTATGAGTGACCACAAGCACTCTTTTCTGTCTTGGAATTGTGAGGAGGCTTTTCTTACCACTTCCCCTACAAGCTCTACCAGGCCAGCGCTCCTCCTCGCCCCAGGACCGCTACCCAGAACTGTGACCCAGGTCCAAGCAGGGGCAAAGCAAGAGAATCAGCCACTCAATTCCCCCTCAGCCTGTGGGCTGGAAGCTCAGGAGGCAGCCGCCGCCCCAGGGCCAAGCTCAGGGAGTGGAGCTGGGAGCCGGAGCTTCTTTCTCACTGTAGAAACAGACTTTTCCCACTGACCTAAGTTGTCTTTGGCCTTTATGGGCTGAGAAGTCTGGAAACTGCCACAGCTGACCGTGATTCTGATTCGGTCCTCTGAGGCCTGCACCAAGTTTACTGTGGCCTGCGTGCCCATGCCAAACTGAGCTCCTCTCCTCGCCTGGCACGACATACCTTTCTGATCAACCATTCAGGCTGTCTTTGGCTGGAAATTTGTTTCACTCTGTCTTTTTGTGGGTTCTGCTGCTTTAGAATTTGTTTAGAGCCATTTTTTATAGGTATTTGGAGGGGTTTGGGGGAGAGCTCAAGCAAGTCACTGCTTTTACTCTGCCATCTTTTCTCCGCCCCCAGTCTGATTTCTTTCACAACATGACTAACATAGAAATATGTTTTGCATGACTACATATGTACATTCTATATCCAATTGCTTTTCTGAAATCTCAATGAAGGGAGAGTCAAGGGAGGGAGAGAATTTGGAATTCAAATTTTTAAAAAATGAATGTTAATTATTTTTACATGTAATTGGGGAAAATAAAACATAAAATTAATAAAAAATAAATTTTAAATTAAAAAAACAAACAACTTAAGCCTTCCCAGAAATTGGAGTTGAACAACTGATCCCTTCCCCCCACTAGGAGAGAGAACAGGTCTAGAGCACTGGCCTTGGAAGCAGGAAGTTTTTCGGGTCCTGCCTGGGACAGATGTCTCCTGGGTAGCCCTAAGCGTCAGTCATTTACCTTAGTGCTCTAGGCAGCTCTGAGACATTAAGTTGCAGAGAAGATGCCAGCCTACATTGGTAAGGGATCATAGATTTCCATTTGGGAGGCCAGTCCAACCCCCTTCATTTTACAGATGAGGAAACTGAGGCAAAGAGTGGTTAAATGTCTTGCAGATGGTCACAAGGCAGGATTTGAACTCTTCATCTTCCTGATTCCAAACCCAGAGTTACACATCTGCTGTACCACCTACCTTTCTAGGTTGAGTTTCCTCTGTTGGGAGGGCCATATGGCCGTGAAACCAAAAGTTCAATCCAGTTCCAGTCCAGAGCTCCTGAAGATTTCACATATGTGGACTTTGCTAATTGCCTTTCAAGTCTCAAGTTAGCTGTGTAACCTTGAATGAGCCATTTCCCTTCTCCAGGCCTCAGTTTCCCCACTTTAAGATGGCAGGGAGCTCCAGCTCAGGAGCCCATGAGCCTGCCCCACCCCCTCTCCAACATCAGGAAAGACAGTTCTTTGTCTCACATTTAGAGTTGATGCTCAAGCATCCTACTTTCTCCAAATAGCTCTTATTCTAACTGGTTGGACTACATGTTCTCTACGGTTTTTATATATATGTATATATTGGATATATATATATATATATATATTTAACCAGACCTAAGATTTCACTGATCTATGAGGCACTCCAGTGGCAGAAATTCCACCATTAGTGTAGATCAGCACCTGCTCAATCACCCACATGTAGATGTCATTGGTCCTCTTCAAGAGTGGAGGACAAAGGGGCAACAAAGTGATGTGGTGGATAGAGCACTGGCCCTGGAGTCAGGAGGACCTGAGTTCAAATTCAGCCTCAGACCAAATACTTGACACTTACTAGCTGTGTGACCCTGGGCAAGTCACTTAAACCCAATTGCCTCACCCAAAAAAAAAAGTAATTCTTTTTAGGACAAACAACAGTCTTCCAGCGTTCCCTAGGGCCCAGAGCAGTTAAATGATTTCTTCAGGATTACGCAGCCAGAGGCATAGTGTGATCCTAGATTTTCCTGACTCCAAGACCACTGTCATACTGTCCCTCTATGGTCACAGGATAATATATTTACAGTGGGAAG